CTGTTCCCCACCTCTTTCAGAGACCCCATTTACACATATGTTGGACCAAAGTGTGCACATTGATGCCCTATTCATTTCTTTCAATCTCTTTCCTCTGCATTTCTTTTTGGAGAGTTTATATTGCCATGTCTTCAAGTTCAGTAATGTTTTCTTCTGCAGTATCTAACCTGTTATTAATCCCATCCGTTGTATTTTTCATCTCAACCATTTTTTTGCTCACCTAAGTTCAATTTGGATCATTTTTATATCCTCTACTTTGCACGCTTATGCTTTTCTACAGCATCTCTAATATATGGAATAGAACTGTGTTAACGTTCTTGTGTAATAATTTTGTCATCTGTGTCATTTGTGAAAGTTTCTTTTGACTGATTTTTCCTTACATTATGGGTTGTATTTTCCTGCTTCTTTGCATGCCTCATGATTTTTTTACTGGACTCCAGACATTGTGAATTTATCTTGTTGGGTGCTGGATTTAAATATGCTTCAGCTTTATTCTTGAATGCAGTTAATTTACTTGGAACCATTTTGAGATTTTCTTTTTAAAGCTCTATTTATTTATTTGAGAGAGAGAGAGAGAGAGAGAGAGAGAAAGCAAATGAGCAGAGGTAGTGGGAAAAGGAGAGAAGCAGATTCCTTGCTGAGTGCAGAGCCTCATGAGGGGCTGGATTTCACGACCCTGAAATAATGACCTTAGGCGAAACCAAGATTCAGACGCTTAACCAACTGAGCCACCCAGGTTCCCCAAACATTTTAATATTTTCAAGGCTTATTTGAAAGCTTTGGTAGAGTAGCTTTCAATCTTAAGCTTACATTTTCCGCCTTTGCTGAGCAATCTACCCGATGTCCTGTTTATTAGAGATTTTCCACTCTGGCTGGTGGGAGCACAAACTATTCTTTACTCCAACAATTGTTCTTCCCACCCTCTCTGGTGATTCTTTCACCAGCCCCAGGTGGTTCTTTATACACAGGTGCTTACCATTGTTCAGTTGAAGACCTGACAGAACCCTCTGCAGATCTCTGGAGCTCTGTCCATGCACTTGTCTTTCCCATGCAGTTCTCTTCTGTCCTGTACTCTTCCCTGCAAATTCTAGCTGCCTTGACCTCCCCAAACCTTCAAATCTGTCTCCTCAATTCAAGGATGTTTGAGTGTCCCTTCTCTGGTTGTGGCCTGGAAACTTCATCCAGAGAGTAAGCTGAGGCAATCATAGCACTCCCCTCATTTGTTCCACTTTTCTTAGGGATCACTGTTTTTTACTGCTTGTTGTCCAATGTCTAAAAAATTATTGTTTCATATATTTTGCCCAATTTTTTCATATGTTTAACATGGGAGGGTAGATCTGGCCCCTGTTACTCCATCTCGCCTGGAAGCCATAGTCCTCAATAAATACTTTACACCATTCTCTGAACTCTGAGTGGTTTCATCATTAGCAGTAGACTGCATTCTTTCTGGTAACTTTAGTATTAGACCTTCTAGAAGTTCCTGGGCAGGCACCATGGGAGGTTTACAATTATATATGTTATTATTCTGTCTCCTCTTTGTTTCAAATGTATATGTCTTGTCTTCTCAGGCAGCCTGCAAATCCTTTAAGGTCAGAAACCCTCCAAGTCTTACTTTTTATGTCTCCCCCCACAACTAGACACATTTATTTTTTAACTCTTACTTAACCTTTACCCAGTGAAAATTCCATTTGAGGTGTTAACAAATAATATACTTGGGATTCGAATTTATGTTAAGCATCAGGGCCACATACTCAAATGCTATTAAAAATGAATGCTGATTCATCCACTATAATTATATATATACATATACTGTCAGAAAGAACCACCCTCATTGTGGTCAGCTGAGAATTTTTTTCTGTCCATTGAACTTGTTAACATCTCAAGGCAATAATAATAATAATAATAATAATAATAAATGCAGATAAATGAAAACCCTGGAAAATCAACAGTTCTTCACCAACTGAGAGCTCTCATCCTTCATATAAAAGTGTATCTGAATATGAGTCAAAGTAAATATTAGTAAAGAATTATTGAATTAGATTAGATCATTTGGGAATTTGGCTTTTCCACCAAAGAATTGCCATTAATTCTACTCTAAATAGAAATAAGAAAAATTAGAACTACCTTTATTTGCCTTATCTATTCTGGTAATACATAGGGAAAAAATACACTGCAATTTCATTCACTCCCACCATAGCAAATATGCCCTCAATCAGCAATAAATGTATTCCAGATTCTGTTCCAGGTGTTGAGGGTGCTGCTGAGGGGAAGACATAAAATGCCTTGTTCTTATGGCATATTTCCTCTTGGTACTATTTACATATGGAGGCTCCATGTAGGTTAATGGCATAAAATATTTATCATCCCACAAATCATTTGTTGAGTAACTCATACATTCCAGACACTTTCCTAGGTATTTATATTATTGCAATGAACAAAATAAATTCCTTGCTCCCCTGGAACTTATATTTGGGGTGGGGAGGCAGTCAAATAGATAAATGTAAGACTGGTGGAAGTGCTCTAAAGAAAAACAAAGCTGGATGGTGAACTAGATATTCATGGAAGGAGCTCTATTTTATGTAGAGTGATAAAGGCCTCTCTAACAAGAAATGGTGTTGCTACAGATACTTGATGAAGCGAGGGAACTAGTTAGGTGGACTGTTTGGGGGAACTGTTCCAGGTTGATGAATTGCAAGTGCAAATGCTCTGATGCAAGAGTCGGGCTTGGTGAGTTTGAATAGAACTAAGAGTAAGAGGAGGGTCTTAGGAAGTGGGGGTAAAAGGGATGAGCAAGGTGAGTCAGATCAAATAAGACAGTGTAGTCCTTCATAAAGACAGTGTAGTCCATGCATTTTAATTGGAAATGGAAAGCTGTAGGAAGGTTTTTTTGTTTTGTTTTTTTTTTGACAGACAGAGACAGCGAGAAAGGGAACACAAGCAGGGGGAGTGGGAGAGGGAGAAGCAGACTTCCCCCTGACGTAGGGCTCAATCCCAGGCAGAGGCTTAATACTAAGCCACCCAGGCACCCCTGTAGGGGAGGTTTTGAGCAGAGGAGAGACATGACCAAATTTATGTCATGAAATGATCACTGTGGTCGCTGTTGACACAGTAGACCTTGGGGAGGCAAAGACAGAAGAGTAAGAAGCTATTGTAACCTTCTAGGTGAGAGATGATGATGGCTTGGACAGGAGATGGTGAGAGTGGTCAGATTCTGGATGTATTTCCAATGCTTGCACTGAGTGAAAAAAGACAAAAAAAAGAAGACATACTGTGTGATTCCACTTATATCAAATTCTAGAAATTATAAATTAATCTATAGCAACAGAAGTTTGTTTGGAGACAGGCAGGAAAGGGGAGGGAAGGATTACAAAGGAGCACGAGGGCTCTTTTATCAGTGATGGATATAGTTAATTATCTTGATTATAGTGATGGTCTCATGGGTCAAAACTTATCAAACTGTACACTTTAAATGTGTGCAGTTTATTATATGCCAGTTATTACATGCAGTTTCTTATACGTAATATGCCAATTACCTTCCAATAAAGCTATTTAAAATAAAGAGAGCCTAGGATTGTCTGATGGATTGGATTTGGGTGTGAGAGAAAGAGTTGCCAGGAATTAAGTTTTTGACTTGAGCATCTGGAAGATGGGAATTAAAATGGCATTTATTGAGATATGGAAAGATCCACAAGTGCAAAGTGCTCCAACCAGCGCCAGAACATTGCAGCCACTCTTCTCTGGGCTGATCTGTGGGCTGTGGCCAGCCTGCCTCCCTGCCTTCCTTCCTTCCTTTCACACATATAGATAATTCAGTTATACTGTGATTTAAACAAGATTTTGCTTCCCCTAGTCAGAAAGAAAGTACAAAAATTGCATGTTGCTTGATGGAGGCTTTACAGAATTGTGATTACAAGGGAGGATATTCCCTGGGTTTGAATCTGAGCTCCATCTCTCACTAGATGTGTGAATGCCCCAATTTGCTCATCTCAAAAATGGAAGATAGTAATAGAATCCTCTACTGTTGTGAAGATTCAATGAATTGATGCATATAAAGACCTCAGAATAACACCTGGGCCTAAAGAAAGAACTCAGTAAAAGTTAGCTGCCATTTATTAGCTTTTCCCTATCTGATATTTATTCTTTAGCTGTTTTTATATCAGTTGATTTCCACTAAATTGTGGATTTCTTTAGACAAGGGCCAGATATCTTTGTCTCATGACCTACATCTTTCCCCATGCCACCCTAGTGTCTGGCGTGCATAAATGATAGCATAAAATGGAAGCTCAACACATTTGTGTTGAGTTAAATTACTTCTTCCCTTAGGAATAAAGGCCCAAGAATCTGAAGATCTCAGCACTCGTATACATTGCCAACCCCTACCCCGCAGGCTCAAAAAAAGACCAAGTTGGCCACCGGCTCAAATTTCCATCACCAACCCCACCGTTCCACTCATGCCCCTTCCCAATCAAAGGTGATCATGGATGGGGGCCCCAAGGAACCCCTGGGAACCTGAACGAGAGGGAGTCTCAAGCCAGAGACTAACAGTGGCAACTCGTGGATGGGATTTGGTAGTTTGGAAAAGGAGACACCAAACCAAGAATGGGGGTGAGGGTGGCGGTGGGCTGGTTCGGGCTGGACCAGAAATGAGAAGGTGCCAGGAAAGGACCCCGTATTGGGGCTGGCGGGTGGGGGCCCCACGGTCGCAGAGAATAGGCGGCGCGGAGGGCCGACTGCGAAGGGACCTGGCGAGGGAGGTGAGACGGGGAGCGCGGGCCGCTGGGGAGGCGAGCGGAGGACGGCGTGGGTCAGCGGGTCGGAGCGAACGCCCTCGGGCGCCCGCAGCCCCTCGCCGAGGCCGCGCTGACGTGTCGTCCGGGAACGCCGCGGCCTCCGTCACCGCCCCTCCCCGCCGCGCGCCCCGCCCACCGCGCTCCGCCCTCGGCCCCGCCCGCCGGCGCCCGCCGGGCCTCGCCTCCGCCTCCGCGCCGCCGGCTCCCCTGCGGTGACCACAACATGGCTGCGGCGCCGGGGCTGCTCTTCTGGCTGCTCCTGCTCGGGCCGCCCTGGCGGGTGCCCGGTCAACCCCACGCGGACACGAGCCGGCGCTTCGCGGAGCACAAACTGTGCGCGGACGAGGAGTGCAGCAGTGAGTGGCCGGAGGGCGGCGGCGGCGGGGCCGCGCGGGGGCGGGAGCCGGGCAGCCCCGCGAGGCGGCCGGGGGCGCAGGCCGGGCGAGCGCCGGCGCCCCGCGCTGTCCCCTCGGCTCTCGGCGCCTGCCGGCCCTGGCCCGGGGGCTGCGCCTCCCACTTGTTGCCAGCGTTTCCTTTCCCTCCGCTGATCTGGTGGTGTTGGGGGTGGCAGTGCCCCTGGTTTTCCCCGGGGCGGCTCGCAGCGTCCGCTCCCCGCCCGGCCCCGAGGGGAGACTGAGCAGTTGGGGTGCTCGCGGCACGCCCTGGGCTCCCCGTGCTGCCGTGAGCGCTCTCCTGCCCCCGCCGTGGGGACCTGGGTGGGTGCAGTCGGGGGCGCAGATGCGCCGAGGGCTCGGCGGGTGCATTCCCGGCCTCAGGTTCGTGGTGGGGCTTGGGAAGGGCACTGGCGCTGCCCCTTCGCCCTACTGCCTCTCTCGGATTTGGGGCTCGTACCGCCTTTTGACAGGGATTGGAGTTTGGGTTTGGGACGAGCCCGGAGTCCAAGCATGCAGGGTATTCCAAGGTCTCGCCTCTGCTCTGCCTCAGTCCTGTCATGTCTGTGCCTGGAAGTCTCCTTGCAAACAGCCAGGCAGGGAGGGCACCTTAAGGAAGGCCAAAATCTTTAGCTTTCGAAAGAGGCCAAGAATCTGCATCTGCCACTTGGGACCGGCAGCCTCCTATTTGCGCAGGAAGCGGAATTGTGCCCCAGTCCTAGATTGGGGGTGGGGGATGGACTGTGGGCGGTGAGGAGGACAGAGATCCCCAGAGTCAGATCAAGAGGATTCTTAAAGTAATCATAATAAATATTTTTTTTCCATAAACCTGACCAGCCTTAGCCTTAGTCACTTGTGTTGTTGGAATCTCTTCCCATGTGTTTGTGGGACCGGGATCATTCTTAGGGCCTCCCAGAGGGTCTTGAATAACCTTGTAACTTAGTGATAACCGCGTTCGGAAACGGTTGTTCATAAATTGTAAACAGTACATATAAAAAAATGTTCATGCTGAAAAGGCCGTATGCCTACAGTTTAGCTATTTATATTCAAATTGGTGCTATTCAAAAACAAACTTCATAGTTGGAAGAGTTTGTATTACCCCAACACCCTGAACAGGAAGCCAGGAGGCATCTTTGTGTTAAGCCATTCCTAGAGGTAACCTAGGGCTGAAGCAAATCAACACTATGAAAGTGGAGCAACTTCCACACTTTTCGCCTTCAGGTTTCTCTGAGCAAACCCAGATGATCAGCAGGCAGTTTTGGCTAAGACAAAATATTTGCCCTTCTTTGCTTTCAAGCACTCCCCTACTTGGGTTCCTCAAAGCCAGTTACCTGGAGATTCACATCGCTGATGCTTCCCCAGTACGGAGACATGGTGTTGGAAGGGCCCTTACTTGTCACATAAGTTGAGAATGGCATGTGTCCAAACAGATATAACCAAAACACAACAGGCGGCAGCCCAGCAGGGTCGGGGACTGTGTGTTGAGTAAAGTATCTAGTAAGGTGTGTGAGTGAGAGAGCTGTCCTGTACTTTTCAGAAAGTTGTTTCACAGTGTGTGGTAATGTCATCTAATTTATTGTTAAAATTTTTCAGTGATCTCTTCTAAGGGGGAAACAAAAGAAACATTGCCATTTCCAGTTGCGATAGAATCCTCAATCTTAAATTGTCCATCACCTTCAACCTGGCCTTTTCCCCCAGTTATATCTGAATTAGGATGCTGACATGTATTAAAGTAATCGGATTTTACCTTCAAAATCCAAATAACCGCCCTCAAATCTATCTGTTCGTCCCTCAAATATGTATTTAAAGATACATTTTAGTGTCTTTATGGCTCACTGGCTTTAAGAAAAAGTGTTCTTTCCATGTCACCCTTCTTTTCTCTGCTATTTAATTGTATCTGTTGTCCATTTCATCTTATATCAGAAACTGTGTAGTTGGCCAACAAAAAGAAAAATGCTGCTTCTACTAGTTTCTAGATCAAGTGTGATTTAAGTCCTGCATTTTAAGATTGAAGGTAACTACTGAACAATTCTCATAGTTTTGCTTGTCCCTGCAACATGTGATGCCCACTTGTGATTTTGTGTATAGACATTAATAAATAAGGGTATCTTCCCTCCATGGTACAGTGAACATTACTTTCATGATAATTTCACATTACCCCGTCATGTGATTGGACCGGTAATAGGATGTGATGTCCTTTCCCGTTAATTTATCCAGATACTGTACAGGGAGATCAGCGTGGCTTCAGATGAAGTCCACAGTGTTTACTGCTGCATGGTAGCAGTTACAGCCACTTAACGATGGTGCCTTTTAGTGTTAGTTCAAGTTAATTGACCCCTTGGGGGTTCCTGGGTGCTCTCCCCAGCTCCCTGTTACCTCTTCACGCAGCCACGCTTAAGCCAGCCAGCATCTGTTCTTGAATTTATTCAGTTGTGCCATGAAGCTTTTTATGATTACGAAACAGCAGAGATTGAGGACAAGAAGGTTAGAGAGGAGACCAAGAATTTCTCTTGACATCAGCTCTGTGTGGCGGTGGACTCATTGCTTTTTGTTTATCCATAGAGAAAAACAGGGAAAGTGGCCGTCTCTCCTGTCTGCTTGTAGGGGATGATATGTAATGATAAAGCTCTAGAGTTTAGATACTTGGAGCCTATGAAATGAAAGCGACTGATTCCAGAGAGTACTGGAGAAACTTGATTGTTTACAGAATGGAGGATACCCTCCTGTTGCCTGATAAATGAGTATGGACTGTGAAAGTTGAATCCTGATACCTGTTTCTCCCCCCCTCCCCGTCTTTATCTACAGTGTTAATGTACCGGGGTGAGGCTCTCGAAGATTTTACAGGCCCAGATTGTCGTTTTGTGAGTTTTAAAAAAGGTGACCCTGTGTATGTCTACTATAAGCTGGCAGGGAGACCACCTGAAGTTTGGGCCGGAAGTGTAAGTACAAATTTGACATACTTTATCTTCTTACTTTTTACTGGTTGTTTCTCACTGTGGTTGGAGACAACTGTTTCCTGGGGTCTTTGATGGAGTTAACTTGTCCTCTCTGCTAGACTGGGAAAACAGAAGGTGGTCTGTATGTCCCCAGCAGGCATCAGGTCTGGCCCCGGGTAGGGGCTCTGCTCTGTTCCTTAAACAAAACTGAACTGCTTCTGGTTGTTGCTTCTCAGCAGTAAGTTCGAGGCCTTATCAGCGGTGGATGCTCCATCCATAGGAAAGGTTGTAGTGGCAAAACCTGAAAATTCTGAACTTCATTGCTTCACAACAGAAGGGTTCGTGAGCATTAGACTTAATCCTGTAAACTTTGTGCGGGACAGTGTTTCACGTGTTCATGTTTAAAGTTGATTGTATGTATTTTTTTCTAAGTTATTAATATTTGTGAAAGATTGGCAGCCCTGGGAGCAGTTACCTAATCGTATGTACTGTTATTTGTCTGTTAAAAAAGCAAAATGTCCTTTTTTGTGTGTGTTTTTTGTTCCCTTGTTTTGTTTGCAACTTCGGGGTCATCCTTTCCCTGCTCTTCGGACACCTGTTCCTGGAGCTTCCCCCAGCTGCTCTGTTCCCAGCCGGTTTTAGGGTGCCCTGATGACCGACGTGGAAACCGGTGACTCCATCATGCTCTGATTTTTAAAAAAACTTTTTGTTCAAGTATAATTAACTTTGTTCTGTTAGTTTCAGGTGTACAATATAGGAACTCCACAGTTCTATGTGCTACTCAGTGCTCATCACCATAAGAGTACTCTTAACCCCCAGTACCTATTTCACCCATTCCTCCACCCACCTCCCCTGTGGCACCCACGAGTTTGTTCTCTATATTCAAGTGTCTGTTTTTTTTCTCCTTTTTTTTTTGTTTTGTTTCTTAAATGTCACATGTGAGTGAAATCATATGGCATGTATTATTCTCTGACCAACTTATTTTTCTTAGCATTATACCTTTTAGGTCCATCCATGTTGTTGAAAATGGCAGGATTTCATTCTCTTTTATGACCAAGTAATATTCCAGTGTGTGTGTGTCTGTGTGTCTGTGTGTGCCACATCTTTGTCTACTCATCAGTTGGTGGACACTTGGGTTGGTTCCACATTTTGGCTATTGTAAGATTTTATTTATTTATTATTTATTTATTTAAAGATTTTATTTATTTATTCATGAAAGAGAGAGAGGCAGAGAGAGAAGCAGGCTCCCAAGGAGCAGGGAGCCTGACGCGGGACTCGATCCCAGGACCCTGGGATCATGACCTGAGCCGAAGGCAGATGCTTAACCATCTGAGCCACCCAGGCGCCCAGATTTTATTTATTTAGATAGATATCAAGAGAGTGCACTTGCAGTGGGAGGGACAGAGGGGGAGGGAGAGGGACAAGCACACTTTACGCTGAGTGCGGAGCCCTATGTGGAGCTTGATCCCGTGACCCTGAGATCATGACCTCAGCCAAAATCAAGATTGGATGCTCAACTGATTGAGCCACCCAGGCGCCCCATTGGCTGTTGTAAATAATGCTCATGCTTTTGATGTTTTTAATGAGGAGATTCCCTAGGAGTGACCAGACTTGAGAGGCCTATGAGTTCTTGTCCTTTCCTTTCTAAAAAGTGTGATGTGTGGACTATTTATTTACTGAAAGTTGTAAGAGTTCTTGATGTCCTTAGGGTTGTTCAGACTTCCAGAAATACCCAGTCTGCACTGTGAAAACTTTTACTATCAATAAAATACCAAACAACAGAAAATAAGGCTTGAGAAACCTACACAGGGAAAAATAGATTCATTTTGTTGGTGTTCCAGATTCCTAGGGAGGAATCTTGAAAGAAAAGACCAACTAACCAGTCAGGTTATTACAGCCCTTGTAATTTGGGCAGAATCCTGATTGAATCACTAGATACAAAGAAGGATCTGTTCTGTTTCCTTCAAGTTGACCACATTAGATTTCTTGATAATCTTCACTCTTGGAAAGTTTTTTCACAGTACCTAGGCTGCATGTTTTACGTACAGTGAGGTGGTTAAGTTGGAGCATTTGGTACGTGAGCTCGACTTGCATTTTCTTATGGCCATGGTCACCTCTCCTGTTGGCCTTCTTAGGGAGTTACTGCTCCAGCACCCTAGCTCTAGCACCCTAGCCGGAGGGCTCTGTGCTGTTTGATGATTGTTCAGGTGGCACTTTGTTTGCACTGCTCACGTGGCATCCCTTTTACTGTTCGTCTTGCAGCTGGCCTGTGTACTGTCTTTGCTCCCTGTAAAGTCATAAGCTCCGTAACGGAAGGGCCCATGGCTTACCCATCTTCCTTTTGAATATTTCCTTTCAGGGTAGTGGCAGTTATTTACATGTGTCCTGATAGTAGCTTATACAGAATTTATTCTCTTGAACAAATGTTCTATTTCTTCCCCACCCCCCCAATCAAATTAATAGTTCTTTGGCAGGGATGATATATGGAAGCAAAATTAAATCTAAAGCTTACTTTCAGTCCTGAGGGTCCATGATTCTGAACCCCTTTTTGTCAGATCCTGAGGCACAGAATACCACCCCCCCAGTATAAAAATACGGAGGTTTTTTTTTTCTTAAGATTTTATTATTTTTAATAATCCCTATACCCAACATGGGGCTTGAACCCGCAATCCTCAGATCAAGAGTCACATGCTCTACTGACTAAGCCAGCCAGGTACCCCCAAAATATGGAGTTTTATATGACCTGTAGTGTCAATGGACCGAGACTACACAAAGACAGATTTATTTCCTTTTTCCATATATTTCTGATTTTTCTCCCTTTTCCAGATTTTCTCTTAATAAAATTTTCCTGAAAAGGAAAAAAAGTATATTTTCCCTCAGTCTCTCCTCTTATTTCATGAAACTTATATTTTAGGAAATAAAAAACCCTCTCCCCTTAGTTTTCAAAATGATTCTTGTTTCTGTTTTTTAGTTTTTGTTCTGCAGCCTTTAGGTTTCTTAGAGTTCTAGATTTTAACTGCCAGTGTTGCAGTTTTTAATTGCTCTGTCTTATCTAATCTTCAAGACCATATTCTAGTACTCCGACTGGCTTTCACGTATTTGCCAGGTATAACAACAGCACTTCTAATGAGGATATTTTAGGAGTTGGTGATAAGATAGCCTTTTTCTCCTTTGGTGCATTGGATCTGCCTATCAGCCTCCTTTGGAGAGATGTGCTTCCCATTTCAGACGTAGCCAGTAGAAGACAGTGTATGCGTCTCAAGAAGACACACTTTATGTATTTTAGCTGTTAATGCTGTAGGTAAATGGGGTTATTTTCTCTAGAGGTTTCCTTTGCATGAAACTAAAGCTTGTTGTATACATTAGTATGAATTTTATTTTCTCCCCCAAATACTGGAAAATCTAGTTTTTGAAAAAGCTACTGCAGCCCATTCTATCCATAAATATTTGCTTTTTGTCATAGTGATCACACATTTTAGCAATTTTATATCCTTTTTACTTAATTTTCATGGCTCTTTATTGGTTTAAGAAAGACTTCTAATTGTACCAGTTGATGAGCAAAGCTGTGAAATGTGCAGGTAGATTATTGCTAGAGGTTATTTGCAATTGTGTTTCTAACCAGCTTTGATTTGCAGGTTTTTTTTTTTTTTAAGATTTCTATTTTTAAGTAATCTCTGTACCCAGCATGGGGCTCAAACTCACAATCCGGAGATCGAATCGCATGCTCTTCTGACTGAGCCAGCCAGGTGCCCCTGATTTGCATAGTTTTAATCACAAAATATATAATAACTTTCTCTTATGTAGGTCTTTTATCTACTTCAGAAATATAACTTTATGTGCTCTGTTTAGAATTAAGTTGCATGTTGAAAGGAATCCTCAGTGGTTTTAGAAAAGTTGGCTTTACGATATTCTGTACTTAATTTTCATTGGAATAATCTGTGTAATCATGATAGCAACTGTCTGTCTCTTGTGGTTATGGCCTACCTACCTACCTATTTCCTGTCACTACTAGGAAGTCTGTCATTTGTATTTCTTATACAGAATTTTGATTGGTGTTTGTTTCTTTTGCCTATTCTTTCATATAGGTTGGGCGTATTTTTGGATATTTTCCGAGGGATTTAATCCAAGTAGTCCATGAATATACTAAAGAGGAGCTACAAGTTCCAACAGATGTAAGTTATAGACTTTTTTTTGGTTCTTAATTATAAATTGCCTTTCAAATTCATCAGTGACAGTTAATGATTTTTGAAAGTCTTTGTGTTTTGGTCAGAAAAAACCAAGTTCACATTTGTGTATCAAGTTTTAATTTAGAATCAGATTACCTTTAAAAATAGAAAAAAAGAAGAAAGAAAAGTTTGAAAAGAATTTGTAGGAGATTATATATCATTATTCGGTAGTTGTCTAATATGTGTACTCGTATAGGGTTTTTCTTTGCTGCTTTAGATGAGAAAAAAATTAAGAATTCAGTATCTTCTTAGTGATTAAGTTTCAGAGGTAAATCTTTTTATTTTTTTAAGATTTTTAAAAAAATATGTTTATTTATTTTAGAGAGCAAGGGAGCGCGAGCAGGGGGAGGGGCAGAGGGAGGAGAGAAACTCAAGCAGACTCCGCGCTAAGCGCGGAGCCCGACACAGAGCTCTATTTCATGACCCTGAGATCATGACCTGAGCCGAAATCAAGAGTTGGAGGCTTAACCGACTGAGCCACCCAGGCACCCCAAGAGGTAAATCTTTTTAGAAGCAAAAGGAGAAGGTATCTCAATCAGAAAACCACTCGTTGAATAGCTCTTAGACATTTTAAGTGTAGAGAAATCAGGTGAAATTAAACCCTACATTATGTACTAGGCCACAAATGCCAGTTTACCATGGTTTTTTTTTATCACTGAGTCTTTAGTGATTTCAGGGGTTATAGTTACGCTATAGGTTTGAAACAGGGAATTTGAGAGATTTGGAGGAGTCTATTCTCAGATCTGCACAGTACTGACTGCACACCCTATAAAGCATTCATCTGAATGCACTGACAGCTCTGTGACGATGAGAATTTTGTGTTCTGGGATCCTGATTATTTTCTGGAGTTTTAAAATTTATAGTAATTGATGCTCACTTTCATTTAAGCATCCTTGAGCAGCTCTTTGCAGTGCTGTGGAACATGCAAGCTGCTGTCCCAGAGCCATTCTTAGATGAGGTTGGCAGAATATATGGGGTCTTAGAGCCAGTGCTGTTCTTAACATTTCTCGATAATTGCAAGGGTCATAAAATCAGCCCATTACCTGTCTGGCCTCATTCCTAGTGAAGAGACTCCCCAGGATATAGGTGTGAGACGGCAGTTCATTGGTCACAGTGACCTCACTAGTTGGGGAGTCTGCCTTCTTACTGTACCTCCCACTGCATGCTTCCCTCAGTATTAAGAAAATAGCTTGGAAACACATGTGGTGAAAAGAAGAAATCATCCATCCCTACCGCACTGGTCAGGGCTCCTCAGACTTCTGTGAAAGTTTAGTTAGGAGAAGAGAATTATCTTTGTCGGCTTTTTAACTTTCCCTCTGTGTATGATTCCTTTTATATCAATTTGTTTATTTTTGGAGGAAAGGAAGAATATGGATTTATGGATAGTTCTGAAAGCAGATCTTAATGACATCTAAAACCCTGATTTAGAGTAGAGTATATTCCTTACTGAATCTTGTTTTCAAGTTGTATTTGAGGTAAGAATTAAGTGGGGAGCCCCCTTGACACCCTTCTTCGTGCCTTTAAATGTTTAGTTCCCATGCCTCTGTGTTTTAATAAGACACTTCCTAAGCTGATTTATCTTTTCCAATCTAAAGAAAATACGAGCCAAAAAAAATCTGTGTAGACTTAGATCTTGACAGCAAGGTGATTCTGCCTGTCTCTAGTGGGGTAAACAGAAGTACAGCCTGGAGGGCACAGTGATAGGGAAGGTGGTTGGTGGTCTTCCAGCTTCTTCTGCACATATTATTATGAGATGAATTCCCAGAACATCAGGCATAGATATTGGGAGTTGAAGGACCCAGTAAATGACACCCTGTGTTTTCTCCACTTGTGCTCAGAACAAATTGAGAGACCCAGGAGTCAGGCACATGGAGACCAAATTGTCACTATTATTTATTGATAAAGCTTTTCAGTGAACATGGCTCAGTTTGCAGAAATAGTGGGCTTTCTAACTTTGTAGTCTAGAATAAGACCAACTGCCCAGCCACAGACAGAGCTAGCTAATGGGGGGCCACCCCTGGAGGACTCTCCCTGTAAAACTGACAGCATGGTGGGGGAGAGGATGTGTGTTCCCTCCAGCAGGTCCCCCAAACAGAAAACAGGGATGGTACAGAGCAAAGGCACCAGCCACATGAATCATGTTTCCCCTGGGGAAGAGACAGCAAAGGGCAGCCAGGAGTAGTACTCAGGTAGGAGTCCTTCTCCATGGAAGCAGGGAACCAGGGAAAAGTGGATTCCAGCTTCTATATTCCTTCACTACCCAAGAAGAGTTGTTGCCCAAGGTAGACACGGAACCCCCTCCAGAGCTAATTTGGGATTATCTCTGTCACTAGCATGGGTAAGAGTTTGCTCTTATACTTAGTGACATGCTTTTTTTTTTTTCTTCTCTTGCAGGAGACAGATTTTGTTTGTTTTGATGGGGGAAGAGATGATTTTGATAATTATAATGTAGAAGAACTTTTAGGATTTTTGGAATTGTACAATTCTGCAACTGGAGATTCTGAGAAAGCTATAGAAAAACCTCAGCGTGAGGACACCCCTCCTGAAGTATTTGAGGAAAGCAACCTTGAACCTGAACCAGTAGAAGTTAACTCAGAGGAGAGTGAAAGTGTCTTCTCAGAAAGTACTAAGGAACTCAAGGAAAGATCTGGGGCTCAGAATAACCACCCCCATGTAAACAGTCAAGCAGGTCGTGCTCAGGGAGACCCATCTTCATTTGGACCTTTTGAGGAAATGCTACAGGATAAACTAAAAGTGCCAGAAAGTGAAAACAACAAAACCAGCAATGGTTCTCAGGTCTTGAGTGAACAGGAGAAGATTGATGCTTACAGACTTTTGAAAAAAGAAATGACTCTGGACTTAAAAACCAAATTTGGCTCAACTGCTGATGCACTTGTATCGGATGACGAGACAACCAGACTTGTTACTTCATTAGAAGATGATTTTGATGAGGAATTGGATACCGAGTATTACACAGTTGGCAAGGAGGAGGAGGAGAATGAAGAAGACTTTGATGAGCTGCCGTTACTGACCTTCACTCACGGCGGAGAAGATGTAAGAACTCCAGTGAAGTCTGGAGTTGAGAAATACTCAGCAGATAGAGAGCAGAGTTCCAATGAAGAGGATAAAGTTGAGGCAACGCAGCCCCCTGGCATCAAAAACTATGATAAAAGTATACTAACATCCTGGGAGGATACTATGTTCTCCTTCACAGAAGGTGACAGACAAACAGGTGTGCGTTTAGGGAGTTCTGATTCAGAGGAAGGAAAAGAAGGTGTTGATGCGTTTGTCCCACATAGCAAGTGGGGGAAACCACGATCAGCCACGGATTACATTGACCCTAAAAGGGCAGAAGATCCTCTTTTGACTGTAGATGTCCCTAAAACAAATAATGAAAAAGACCCAGAAATTCACATTACAGGAAAAGGGATGAAAGTCGCAGAATCCAAGAGGGGCCTGGCACAGGCTGAGCTGCGGTTGGAGGAGGAGAAGCAGGAAGGCATGACTGCACACGGTTCTCCTCAAAGCGGTGACCCTGGCTCTTTGCCATCTGCTGGAAAGGGTAAAGAAATGTTGGAGTCAGCCTTCGATAACAAAGAAAATGACCTAAAAGGAGCAGCTGTTCATATTTCAAAAGGAATGCTCCCTGAAGAAAAGCCTGGAGAGCAGATTTTGGGAGGCGGCTTAGAACGTGAACAGGTACCTAAAGCTTCAGGGAGTCAAGTGAACAAGGAAAAGATTGGTCAGAAATCTGTGGATATTGCACCATTGCTGGGAGGTAATCAGCGTAATGCATCCAAAGACAATGTGGAAGAAGTACACGTTTTAGTAAGTGGGTCAAAACCACACACACTCTCAGTGGAGCATCCAAGTGAGGAATTTAAAGAGGAACAGCTTCTTAAGACTCAGAATCAACCTAGATCCTCCCCTCTGGATGAAATTGGTTTGCCAAGAGAACCGGAAGAAGAGGGCCCCATTTTGGGAAGAAATCTTTCTTGGCCACAAGGAAGAGAAGAGGCTGCTAGCCACAGTAAGCAGATGGATGAGAAGATAAGGCTCTCCAAGGAGGAGGTCAAAGAGGACTCCTCAGGTGAAGAGTTTGCTCCTCACAAGCCCCTGGTGGGCTCGCGGGAATTGGGGGCAACAGGCCAGACAGATGGCCCGGAAGGCCCAGGTTTCCAAGCTGAGAAAACAGAGGCAGATGACGATTATAGCCCGGAAGAACTCCTGGAGGATGAAAATGCACTAAGTGCAAAACAGTCTAAAGAACAAAGCCCTGAGATCCAGGGCGGGCGGCTAGATGTTAATCCACAGGCCCCCGCAAGAGCTGGTTTAGGCCCCATTAATCCTGATGCAGAAACAGAAGGAAGCAAAGAAGAAACCAGTAGTATTTTGGAAATTGAGAAAAAAAGAGAAACTTTGGGCGAAGGGGTAGACACAGGGGCCAGGGAAGTGGGTAGCGGGGTGGTGGAAACAGAAAGCCCTCTTGTAGCTCAGAAAGCACAGAGAGCACCTGAAGTAAGGGACTCTCCTGACAAAAAAAATCAGACTCTAGGGTTGGGTGAAATGTTTCAGAATCAAGATACTGATAATTTTCAAGAAGATAGCCTTGAGGAATCCGTACAGAAGCCTGGGGTAGACGAACTCTTGGAAGAGGACCAGGGGGACTTTGAGAGGTTCGCGGACACAGAGAGCCAGGGGTCTGCCACTGAGGAGCACAAAGATGCCCAGCCACACTGGACGCCACATATAGTGGGGGAGCGGGCGCGCAGCCATGAAGTGAAGGACTTGCCTATAATCGGCAGCTTCTTTAAAGAACAGCAGTCTCTGCAAAGGTTCCAGAAGTACTTTGATGTCCATGAACTGGAAGCCATGTTCCACGAGATGTCGTTAAAGCTGAAGTCCGCACAGCAGGAGAGCCTACCCTATAATGTGGAAAAAGTCCTGGATAAGGTCTTCCGTGCCTCCGAGTCACACATTCTGAGCGTAGCAGAGAAAATGCTTGATTCCCGTGTAACCGAAAACAGAGATATGGGAATGAGGGAAGATAACATATTTGAAGAGGCGGCAGTACTAGATGATATTCAAGACCTGATCTATTTCGTCAGGTACAAACACTCCACCGTGGAGGAGACTGTGGAGGAGGCTGCACCGCTGACCACGGCACAGCTCCCCCCGGAAGGCTGGGGCAGCTCCACGGAAGGTAAAGTGCCCGCCTGTGGCCTCGTGGGGGCGCGCCGGAGAAGTGGGGGGGGGGGCGCGGGGGGCGCTGCTGAAGTGCCTCCTGCCTTACTTGTAAAGCTCTGTCTAGTTTACAGTGTACCTGAAGGTAAGGGACAACAGCACTGTGACATCCATGTGTCCCTTTCTGCCTTCTTTCAGGCAGGAGCCTTGGTAAGGATTTCTCACTCTGTTTTCCCCTTTGGACAGGTGAGACTGGTAGCGTTTTCAAAAGGAAACTTTTTCTTTTCAAGTGAGCTCTACGCCCAACGTGAGGCTTGAACTCATGACGCTAAGGTCAGAGTTGCATGTTGTTCTGTCTCAGCCAGCCAGGCACCCTGAGTGAAGTATAGCTGACACACAGTGTTACATTAGTTTCAGGTGTGCAGCATAGTGGTTTGGTCCGCTCTGCTCACTGCAAGCGGAGCTCCCATCTGTCACCATACAAGACTTCCAGCACCACTGACTATATTCCCTATATTCTGCCTTGCATCCCTGTAAGTTATTCCGTAACTGGAAGCCTCTGAAAGGGCTCTTTGGAACATGGTTTCTTAAGCACAAAGTGACTGCTCTCTGACCAAGGATTAGTTGGCGTAATGTTTATTTATTTTAAAAAAAGATTTATTTTAGAGAGAGAGCGCAGGGGGAGGGGCAGAGGGAGAGCATCTCAGGCAGACTCCAGGTTGAGCTTGGAGCCTGACGAGCTCATGGGATTGAGCCCCATGAGCCTGAGATCATGACCTGAGCTGAAACCAAGAGTTGGACGCTTAACCGACTGAGTCACCCAGGCACCCGTGGCATAATGTTAAAATTGATGCCTTGCCTGAGTTTCTTCATTCCCCTCCCCCACCTGCCCCTGTTTTCATCTTTTGTGGGTGTCATGTTCTTTCTTGCCTCTTTGGAGCACTTAGGTCAGTTAAATTCTACTGGGCCCTAGGATTCTTGTATTCAGATTAATCAGTGACTGAACCAGGATGCAGAGCTTTCTAAACACAGCGCTTGACACATAGAAGCCTTCCTGTAAATAGTGATTGAATTGACCCTGAGCCAAGATCCTAATATAACCTGATTCCTAGTTCCGTGCCCTATTCTGTGTCCCCATGCTTTTCAGACTAAGGTATTTGAGCTGAGGCTTATGGTAGAGTACCAGGGGGACATAAAGTCACAGAATAAATGTGTCTTCCCAGAGGGCCAATTTTTCCTGAGAATTTGGGAGGGGAACATTTTTGTGTGTAATCAGAGCAGATCTATTTTGCATTAGAATGCAAAACTCTTAGAAATTTTCAGGGTAAACCCTGAGGCTTTAAAGACATTCATCTTTGCTGCCCCGAGCCTCTTGGGGAAAGAAATGGGTTCCCTCTTTTTGTTGATTAGACATACTCTGAAAATATTTGAGAGGTACTTCAGCAGACTGCCTTTGTACATAATGCCCTCCACTGTGCTAGTTCTGTGAAATAAGCATGCATATGTATGAAAGTTCACGTTCTTTCTGTGTGGAGTAGATGCTTAGTATTTCTGCACTTGACTGGAATTCTCTTCTGTACCTTTATCTGTGTGAGCATGTGTTGGTTTGTCAAGGAAAGTTAGGTTATTGAAGACCCTACCATAAATGTGTTTGTTTATAAAATACTTGGAATGAGGGTTTCTTTATAAATTTTAGCCATCTGTGAAGTGAGGTAAGAGCAGCTGAAACTCTTACTTCCCTGCTCATTTGTGCTCCCTGGGATACTCGCATGTGGAGGGCAGTACTGAAGCGCCCGGGGGTGGACGGCCTTGGAGAGCTGCCGGTGGGAAGGGTGGAGTGGGGAGTGTCAGCCGGCTTTGCCAGCCCAATGCACGCTTCTTCCCTGTAGGGATGCAACCGCACCTTGAAGACAATTTCCCACAAGATAAGGCAGAGGACCTTAAGGTAGAGATTCTCACAGAGCCCAGCCAGTTGGATCAACCTGTGAGTGGTGACAAAGGTGGCTCAGAAGTGCCACAGCAGCCAAATACTGAGAAGGACGAAGATCCAGGTAAAGCTTGCAGATTTTTCTCTACAAAGTGTAGGTATGTCTCATAAAGAAGAGCTTCTAGGAAAATTTTTCCCCTTTAAATTATTTATTTATTTAAGTGATTTCTGCACCCGTGGTGCTCAAACTCATGACCCCAAGATCAAGAGTCAAATGCTCTACCAGCTGAGCCAGCCAGGCGCCCCTGGACATTTGTTCTTAAAGGTGGGAAATCAGAATAATTATGGAGAATAATAGGAGAATAATACAGGCATGAGTGAGTTTAAAAAAAAAGAAACCCCAGAAGGGAAAGAAAAGCAGGAGTTGAGGTGGATGGAGATCAGCAGTAGGAAAAAGGCCAGAGACTGTAACCAAAAACTAGTGTTTGGCTGTCATTACTTATGTGAATAATTTTAATCTAAAATATTATTCTTAAAAAACCGTATGTTCTAAAACAGTAGTTTTCAACCAGACCAGAGGCATCAGAAACTCTGGGGGAGGAGACCAACAAGCTGTGTTTAACAAGCCCTCCAGGAAATTCGGATCCGTTCAAAGTTTGAGAACCACTGCGTTAAAACTCACAAATTCCATGTTTTCTCTCCACTCCTGAGTCCCCTCCATCCCGCCCTGCCCCCAGTAGAATACAGTGTGGCTTAGCTCTTTTACCTTTTTAAAAACAGTGAGGGGGAAATTTATGCCTAGGTATCTTTATACTGTAGGGAAGAGTACAGAACTTTGCAGTGGGTGGTGGTCCGGTGTGGCTGGTGAAGAGGACTTCCATCACAGAGCACAGCAAACACTCAGTGGAGAGCAACTCATTTCACTTGAATTGAGGAAAATGTTTAAAACAAAAATACAACCCCGATAACGATATCAGTAGGTTTCTAATGAAGAAGAACTAACTGTGTTATTTCACGAATCCACTGTGGTGGCGTGATTTCATTACCGTGTTTGTGTTCTTAGAGGTTGTGGCCTCTAACCATGGCTATAGCATTACCCTGTGGTACTGTGAGAACTGGTAGAACTGGGTGGACCCTCCATCTCTCTTCAGAGTATGGGAGAAGCCACAGCATGGGGAGGAATTCTGCAAATTTGAGAAGAAATGACATATCAGAGGTCTCCCGTGTTCCAGAGGATATTGTATTCATGTGTCCTCTCTCGTTCTAAACTCCTTTAAGTCAAAAAGATTCTGCTTGTTGAAAATGAATCATACACCACGAAGTCTTGTTATTCTCTGGCTCAAAAACTTTCAGGGCTAGGAAAAGTTCTGCTTTCAGAATTAAAAACAGATTTTTTTGCCCTGTCCTTTAAGGTCTGTCACAAAATGACTTCAACTGCCTTTGCAGGCTCATCTTCCCAAATATCCCTTCATGCATCTCAGACACAGAGATGCTCACCTGACCGGGAACACTTCCCCAAAGGTCAGATTCATAGATCAATAGTGAATGGAATCTTCTGGTTGGAAGAGACACGAGAGGCCCCTACTCCACCCATCACTAATTGCTTGTTGAACTCCTAGAGGTTTATAAGATGTGTCCCAGACTCAAGTAATTCAAACTGAAATCCCCTTTCCACCACCTCCTCAGGTGAAACCCTTTCAGGCAATGCTGGAATCCTACTTCTTATGCAGAGCTCCAGGCCAGCCCTCTCCCTGTAAGCAGTTCCTGTTAGTGTCTCTGGGCATTTACCATATTCTTTTTTGTGTAGCTGTCATTCCTCTGTTTGGTAAGCAATCACTGAGTGCCTGCCTGGTGCCAGACACCATGCTAAACACTGGTGTATCCCACCTGCAGGTCTGCAAACTGACACTTTTCTATTCATCGTTTGCCTGAAATTTCTAACACAGTGCTTCACCAGCACTAAATGAACGTTTGTTAAATGCAACTGTGTCTATGTGGAAAAAACATAAAATTCTGCTTTTCTCAATTCCCATGACTGAATATTGTTCAGGTAGCAGTTGCTTTGCCAGGGACATGATGGAGGGGTTTGGTGAGGGGTAGATGGTGTTGGAGATACGTTCATTTCATAATGGAAGGGTGTGATGGCTCTAATGAGCATTCTGAATTTTGTTCTCTTTATAATTCTTTTTTTAAAGATTTTATTTGAGAGAGAGAGAGAGTACGAGCAGGGGGGAGGAGTACAGGGAGAGGGAGAAGCAGACTTCCTGCTGAGCAGGGACCTGGATGCAGGGCTCGATCTCGGGACCCTGGGATCATGACCTGAGCCGAAGGCAGACTCTTAACCGACTGAGCCACCCAGGTGCCCCTTCTTTTTATAATTCTTTGTAAGTTATATAAGTCTTTATATAAGACATATAAAAACTATGTCTTTTTTTTTTTTAGTAAATATTTTTTAAATAATCTCTACACCCAACGTGGGGCTCGAACTCACGACCCCGAGATTAAGAGTCACATGCTCTACCAACTGAACCAGCGATGTGCCCTTAAACCAGATAAGTCTTTGAGAGAAGCCACTGATTAATATTCAGTGGGCACTCAATAAGTATTTTGAATGGAGAGGAACAAGTCTTACTCTGAAGCATAAAATAAAATATTAATTTTCATCCTCAATTTTAGGGATAATTACAACAGAAAGCAGTCCTGTTGACACTGTTGATGCAAAAAAGCAACTAGAAACAAATGCTGAAGAGCCAGCAAGTGTCACACCTTTGGAAAATGCAATTCTTTTAATATCTTCATTCATATTTTATTTAACTAAGACGGTAAGTTCTACATACATAGTTTCTTCAGATAGAATGTTGATTAATTACAGTTTTTGAGTTGATCTTGAGCATGAAGTAAAGAGCTTAAAATGTCTTTATGGAAATTTCTGCTGCTCCTTTGATGTTAGCCTCAGAAACAAAACACAAGTGTATAATCTGATGGGTTCTTAGCACAGTTCAGTCCTTGGAGAGGATCTGCGATGTGTCAGTGCTGGGTATATACCTGTAAAACATGGCTCTTCCCCTCAAGGACCTTTTAGTCTAGCAGGTAGATAAAGACTTTCACTGGAGACATGATATGGGCAGAAAGTATTTACCTGATGGCAGAATGATGTGTTGGATAAATTGATTCATCGTGGTGGGAGGATGGGCAGAGAAGGTCAGAAGTTAGCTGAGACGTGTTTTGGGAGGAGTTGAAGGACGAATGGGAGTTTGATGTGCAGGGTGTTGCTGAATAGAAGGATTGGGAGGAGGGAGACGGGTGTGGCATGCAGTTAGGCCAAAGAAATAACATGGTCAGAGAGATGGAAGTTATTACAAAAGAAAAGGCCTTTTGAGGAAGCCGAGGAAGCCTTGTTGATGTTGAGCAGTCAGAGGGGGTGGTCTTTGGAGGAAGACAGGTCAACCTTAAAGGAAGTTGTGTATCATGACAGGTAGTGTTACATTGTTTGGGATGGGGATCCTTGGAAGGTTTTAAGTAGGAAAGGGATGTGGTTAGATTTCTTCGAAAGAGCTACTTGTGACAGTATCTATTCAGATTTATCTTTCTTAAGGGAGTCATGATCCAAATGAGACATTTAATCTATCTGGAAGCGTATCTAAGCTTTTTAGGACTTAGCTCCCCCTTGTGGTATTTGTTGAAATTGGACATTTTTCTTGGTAAATTCTGGGAATGAGCAAGCTTTCTGAAGTTGGAGGCCAGGTTTTCCTTGGACCTATGGAGAAAGTATCCTCCCCCATACAAAAATATTTTTCCACTAGGTTCTGTTATTTCAAGACTGGTGTAGGAAAGAGTTGTTTTTTTCTTTTCTGTTCCATAAAACTGCATGAGTTTTGAGCCAGGATGATCTGATTTCAAATCCCAGATTCATCATTTAGAAGCTTGGGCAAATTACTAAACTTTGTGTAGCTGTCAGACATCTTCCAAATGCAGATAATACCTACTCCAATTGTTGGAAGAATTAAATGAATTGATAATAAAATGTCTAATGCAGTACCTGGCATTTTGTAGGATCTCACCCTCTGTGTACTTCTCATTTGGATGGTCAGAGGGCAGTATAAAGACATTGAATACCTGAGAAATTCAGGAGAAAGGCCACCAGGATGGGAGAGGTTTTTCAGTTTTCCCTGTGGTTGTGGTGGTTTGCAGCCACCCACATAAAGGTGTGTGTGACCTGTGCAGTTAGAATAATGACATTTTCAGTGATTGGGGCAGTCTCAGAATTCAGATTTGATCATCAGAATGAATCCTTGTCACTTCAGAAATTTAACAGGCTCTAAATGTGGGAGGAATTCTTTATTCATTTCCTTTGTGAAATATGCACAGAGCCCTGACCCAGGCCTGGGTTGGGAGTACGCAGATGTGGTATAGGACAGGGTCTCTGCTTGGAGGATGGTGGGAGAAGACACAGACAGGAGTGGTGAGGGACAAGGGCACAGTGTTACAAAGTAACATTGACTTGAAAGGTGTTGTCAAGAAAGCATTTTGATGGCCCAGTGTGTATAGAGTATTGTGTTAGTAGTACAAGATTCTAAGAGGTACAAAGCATGATTTTGATTTTGAAAAGATTTAAGAAAATGACATATCAAATATATATGAAAATTGGGGAAAATGGAAAATATTTGAAATAGTTTTTGTGAAGTATCAAATAGAATAGATAATTATTTGGTAGGGCTGGGGAGGAATGGGGTGCTGACTTGTTCAGGGACACTGAACCAGAAGTCAGATTCATGGATCCACAGATAATGGAACCTTGGAGCGGGAAGGGACCTTCGAGGGCAGCTTTTCCAATTTCATAAATTGCAGTAATTTCCTCTCCTGAAACCTGGCAGGTAGTTAGGGGATCTGGGTGTCAGCAGTTCCTAGCGTGAGTATCCTAACCTTACAAGCCCACTCATTGATAGCTGTCTTGGCGTGTTCATTCTCTTATTGACTCCAGATTTTCTTCCACATGACTCCTCCTAGAATTGGATTATTTTTCTACATAGTAACCCTTAACATATTTGAAGTTATGCTTTTTTTAAGTGTTTTTTATCATGGAAAATTTCAAACATAACAAAAGCATAGACAATTGTAAAATGAACCCATGGGCTCATTACCCGGCTTAACAGTAATTCCTTAATATCACCCAATGTTGGGCACATTCGAAATCCCCTCCCCTGCTTTTTAAAAATTGTTCTTGTTAAAATCAGGATCTTGTTGAGGTCCAGATGTTGTAGTAGTTCGCTATATATCTTAAATCAACTTTAATCAGATATAAATTATATACAATAAAGGGTACCCATTTTAAGAATACAGCTCAGTGAGGTTTTTTTTTTTTTTTTTTAAGGTTTCATTTATTTGTCAGAGAGAGAAAGAGCACAAGCAGGGGGAGCGGCAGGCAGAGGGAGAAGCAGGTTTCCTGCTGAGCAAGGAGCCCGATGCGGGACTTGATCGCAGGACCCTGGGATCATGACCTCAGCCAAAGGCAGACACATAACTGACTGAACCATCCAGGCGCCCCTCATTGAGTTTTAACAAATGTATTCACTCATGTAAAAACAATCATAACCAAGACACAGAACATTTCCTTCATTCAAACAAGTTCCTCATATACCTTCCCAGTGTAGCTCCCTCACCACCTGCTTTTGGCAACACTTTTTTTTCACTATAGAGTAGGTTTTCCTGTTGTAAAATTATAATTATAAAATGGACTCATACCTAGGAGTGAAACTGCCTAGCCATATGGTCAGTTTATCTTAAAAGAAGCTGCCAAACAGTTCTCAAAGTAACTGTCCCAGTTTATCCTTCCACTAGCAACTTAGGAGGCTTCCAGTTGGTCACATATTTGCTAACACTTGGTATTATCAGTTGTAAATTGTAGTCATTCCAGTAGGCATATCTTTGTGGTTTTAATTATATTTCTTGATGATTTATGATGTTGAGCAATTTTTCATGTGGCCATATGTTTTGTGTGTTCATCTGTGAAATAGCTTTTCAAATCTTTTGCCCTTTTTAAATTTATTTATGTATTTTTTTTTGCCCTTTTTTTAAAGTTTATTTATCTAAGTAATCTCTACACCCATCGTGGGCCTCGAACTCATTACCCCGAGATCAGGAGTTTTGTACTTTTCTGACTGAGCCAGTCGGGTGCCCCTCTTTTGCCCCTTTTTAAATTTTTAAGATTATATTTATTTGAGAGACAGTGAGCATGAGGCGGGGGGCAGAGGGTGAGGGAGAAGCAGACTCCCTGCTGAGTAGGGAGCCTGACTTAGGGCTCAGTCCCAGGACCGAGATCATAACTGAGCCAAAGGCAGACGCTTAACCGACTGAGCCAGCCAGGCGCCCCTTGCCCTTTCTTAAATTGGGTTCTTTTCCTTCTAAATATTAAGGTCTAAGAGTTCTTCGTATATTTTGGATACAACTCCTTTGTCAGATATATATTAAGAATAATATCTTCCAGTTTATGTCCTGACCTTTCAATTTCTTGACATTGCTTTTGAAGAGCAAATTTGTAATTTTGATAGAATAACATTTTATTAATTTTTACTTTTATGGTTAGTGCATTTTGTTTCCTGCCTAAGGAATCATAGGCTATTCCAAAGATGCAACTATTTTCTCATGTTTTCTTCCAGAAGTTTTATAGTCATGCTTAGGTCTCTGTTCCATGTTAAGTTTTGTGAATGGTGCCACATTTCATTTTTTTTCCTTCTGTGGCTATCCATTTGCTTCTGTAGCATTTCTTTTCCCTTGAGATTACCTTGGCACCTTTAGTTGAAATCAGCTGATCATATTTGTGGATCTTTCTGGACTCTGTTCTGTTCCATTGATTTATATTTCTATTCTCAGATAATAACACACTTTTCTGATTAGTATTGCTTTATAGTAGGTCTTGGAATCCGGTAGTTCTTTGGCAAAATTGTTTTGGCTATTTCAGTTTCTTTGCATTTCCATATAAATTTTAGAACCAACAGCAATTTCTATAAAAAACTTGGTGAGATTTTGTTACTATGTTGAATCTAGAAGAACTGATATCAACAAATACTGAGGCTTCTAATCCAAGAACTAAGTTCATCTCCACATTTAGATCTAAAGATCTATAAGAGACCTACAAGACACTGCTGAAAAACTTCCTTAGTCTGTGTGTGCAGGTTTCATGCATATTGTTTACTATACCTGTGTATTTCATGACTTTTGATATTGTAAATTGTGTCTTTCTTACATCTCATTTACAGTTGTTTTGTGTTTATAGAAATATAGTTGGTGTTTGTATATTGACCTTGTATCTTAATACCTTATTAAATTTATTAGTTCTAGGGATGGGGTGGCTGGGTGATAGACATTGGGGAGGGTATGTGCTATGGTGAGTGCTGTGAATTGTGCAAGACTGTTGAATCACAGATCTGTACTTCTGAAACAAATAATGCAATATATGTTATAAAAAAAGAAGAAGATAGCAGGAGGGGAAGAATGAAGGGGAGTAAGTCGGAGGGGGAGACGAACCATGAGAGACGATGGACTCTGAAAAACAAACTGAGGGTTCTAGAGGGGAGGGGGTTGGGGGGATGGGTTAGCCTGCTGATGGGTATTAAAGAGGGCACGTTCTGCATGGAGCACTGGGTGTTATGCACAAACAATGAATCATGGAACGCTACATCAAAAAACTAATGGTGTATGGTGATTAACATAACAATAAAAAATTTAAAAAAAAGAAAATGATAATAACAATTCAGGACTTAGATAGGCCAAGTACAGTAGGTTTTAAATGTATCTGAATCGAACAGATAAGGAATCATGAATA